GAGCAGGGAGCCCGATGCGGGACTCGATCCAGGGACTCCAGGATCATGACCTGAGCCGAAGGCAGTCGCTTAACCAACTGAGCCACCCAGGCGCCCAGAAGTAGATTTTTTTAAATTATAAAAGTAATATAAGTCCAGTATAGAAAACTTTAGGTAGTATAAAAGTATAACAAGTTGCAGTATAATTCTGGCACTAACTGCAGTTAGTCCAGACTCCACAAGTTACTAGCATAATCCCCAAGAAGACTACCCTCACTAAGACACAAGTTCAGGGATCCCCAGGCCACCCACACTCCTGACCAATTGGCTATAAATGCAAGTGTTCCCACTAACTACCCAGGCTCAGTAATTCTCTAGAATGGCTCAGGGAACTCAGAAAAGCACTATACTTATGATTAGTTTTATTATAAAGGTCACAGATCAGAACCAGCCAAAAGAAGAAACCCATTGACTGAGATCTAGGAAGCTCTCAAAATTTGAACTTTCATATCCTCTGGACATGGAACCAGGGAGCATCACCCTCCTGGCACATCACTGTGTTCACCAAATAGGAAGCTCAGCTAAGACTTGGTGTCCAGAGATTTTATTGGATTTTTATTATGTGCATATGATTTATGTTAAATGTAAATAAATTTACTTTTTAATATTTCTGAAATGACTGCATCATAGAACAAAACTTTGACTATACTTCTGAAATTTAAGTATTATGACTGATTGAATCATTGGCCACTTGATTGAACTCAATCTCCAGTCTCCCTCCCCTCCCTGGAGGTCAGGAAGTTGGGCCTATATCACATGGCTCAAAGCCCCAATGTTCTAATTACATGGTTGCTCTTTCCAGCATGGCCCAGCTCCCATTCTGAAACTATCTAGGGTCCTACCTTGAGTCACTTCATTAGCATAAACTCAGATGTGGTTCCAAGGACCTACTGTAAATAAAATAAGATACTGCTACTATGGGGGGCGGGGGGAGTAGTGAAGGGCTTGCAATTTTAAATAGATTATTCAGAATAAATCTCACTGAGCAGTTGAAATTTGAACAAGGATTTGAAGGATGTGAACAGATTATCCATATAATACAGGGAAAGTGTTCCAAGTATAGAACTTGCCATTGCATAGTTGGAAACATGCCTAAGGAACAGCAAAGAAGCTGGATGTCTCTGTGATCTATTGCTGAGTAGCAAACCATTCCAATACTTTGTGGCTCAAAACAATAACCCATTTAGGTTATGATATGGGTGGGACAATATGGGTGGGCTGTATCTACTGGACTTGCCTATGTGTCTCTAGTCAGATGGTTGGTCTGCTAACAGTTAGTGTAGTAGTTGGCAGTGGATGATAAACCTGTCTGGCGGGGGATGCTTGGCAAGATGGCTGGATTTCGTCTGGTCTCAGGAATTCATCTGGATAGGGATCAGACCATTCTGAACACCTACAAACTCAACAGGAGATCGAAGAGAATAGCAACAACTCTCTGAACAGAAAAGCAACCACTTTCTGGAAGGTAGGACATGCGGAGAAGTGAATCTGAGGCGATATTTGGGAGGATAGATGGCGGGGGAGGGGGCCCCCGTTGGCCGCTTCTGGCAAGTGATAGAGCCGCGGAGCACAAAATCGGA